ATTCATGTCCCAGAACACCACTTCACTCATTAGGCCATCAAATACCTATCATAGATCATATCAGATATCATATGTGCATGTATGCATGTATGTATATATACATACATCAAATACAAATAATCCACTGTTGGTGCTTTGACAATTGCTTTATGAACAATGTATTTCCCAGTGAGGCAAGAAGTCTTGCCTTGTTGTAGTCACTGTTCTATTTTAGGCAAGACAGTATGCATTTCCTTGTTTTAGTCAAATAAAATAAATATCTAATTATCATGGGATCAACTCGCTCAATACTTATTACATAAGGTTGCATTCTCTAATTCAAAGAACACTGTCTCAGCAGTCAGACTGGCTGGGCCACTATTCTTTGCCTTAAAGCCATTTTCGTTCTCTCTTTGTCTCACCCAGTAAAATGAGGGTGTTCATCTAGCACACAGGCTCCAGAACCCAAGGATTCTACCTTGGAATCCACTAGGAAGTTATGTTAAAAATGCAAACTCTGAATCCCGGCTTCGCACAGGACCCTGAGACCTCCCTAGTGTTGCTAACATCCCATGACTTTCTGAAACACAGCTGAGGACACGAACGAGAAGCACTTCCCTATTAAGGATGAGTTTCCAAATTTCAATTCCCTTTTGAGTTAGTGCAGAGCAGGGGTAACTCAACGCTTGACAGAGAAGTTGGCGTAACACCGAGAAGCGCACACACAGGCTCCCCAGGCTGCTAAGAACTTTCTAAATAGGTGCTCCAAGCTGACCGGTCAATGGGAGTTTGAGCGTACAGGCAAATGATTGTCTAAATCAGCATATTCTTTACTGGGTCCGTACGCTCTCTACAAATGTATGTAACATATGTGTGGGCACAGCGTTCTGTGCCATTTCGCAGCAGGGAAGGTGCATTGCCTTCATGCAGTTAAGAGCCCCGATTCTGAAGACTGCACTGACGTGACTCTCAGTCAGGCTGGTCAACCGTGCTGAGGGACACAAGGACGACAAAGACACAGCCCCTGCTGCAGAGAGGGGTGGTGGGCAGGAAGCAGCACAGAAATAAGTCCATCCCAAGGCAGAAGAAGGAAAGCACCTCCAGAGTGTTAGTGAGCGGTTTGGGGGTTCAGGGGAAGAACGTCTCCTTCCTGCTCAAGAAATGTGGGAGAGCCGCCAGTTAAGCTGGGCCTGGAGGGAGGGGAAGAATGGTTTTTATAAATATATAGAAATGAAGATGGTGGGCAGAGCGAGCAGCATCCGAGAGGGCTCAGCAGAAAGGGAATGCCTCGCTTGGACTTCAGAGTGCCCAAAAGTCGTTCTTTGATACTAATTACTACAGCGGATGCGCCTTTAGTTACTCAGAGTTGGGCTAAGGTCCCAGCTTAAACCCGGACAGCTGATAAATGACAAAGGTTTCTTCACCAACGCGGAAACCCAGCTGGGAACCGATGGGCCTGAGGTCTCCTACCCCACCGTGAGCAGACACGGACACCTCAGGCATCATGGTCCGTAGCTGTCATATGACACCGAGGTGCTGAATCCCGAAGGTCTCTGCACATACCCTCGGGAGCTTCAAAGTTCTTCTGCAGTGTGAAAGGTCCAGACAACGGAGAAACAAAATATTAAGGAAAGGTAGGTCACTTCGTGTGCCAGGGCCCTGAAGATTGCCGAATGGCCCTGTCCTCTAATGACCCCTGGGCTCGAAGAACTTCATCCTGCAAAACTACACAAGATGGATGAGACAGGGGGCAGGAGAAGGAACCGTGTGGCCAAACCCTGGGACCATAAAGGCCTCCAGTAATCTCTAGGTGAGGCGCTCCGTACAATCCGAGGACCAGTGCCTAGAAGTCGCTCCCCACACTGCCTCAACTAAGGTCATGCAGCATGGCCAGAGAGCACAGAAATGGAGAAAACCCACTTAAAAAGGGTAAGAGGGACGGTTTCACCATCCCCCCCAATAAATGAAGAAATGGTTTAAGGTACCCTGCAATGCCTTGTAATTAGTACAGATGCAGGGCATTATATCTGGGTGTAGTAAATGCATTAATTTCCTAAAGGACAAACAATTTTTATCTACCTGTTTTTTTTGTTTTGTTTTTTAAAGATTTTATTTATTTATTTGACAGAGACAGAGATAGCGAGAGCAGGAACACAAGCAGCGGGAGTGGGAGAGGGAGAGCAGGCTTCCCGCCGAGGAGGGAACCCGATGTGGGACTCGATCCCAGGACCCTGGGATCATGACCTGAGCCGAAGGCAGACGCTTAACGACTGAGCCACCCAGGCGCCCTATCTACCTGTTTTGAAATTCTTCTTTTTTCTGATACATGGCAAGCCTCAAAAAAGAAAGCGGCCCAAGCCTCCCCCAGGTCGTGAGCTTATTCCAGGCGTCCGGTTAAATGGGCACGAAAGCGTTGAGTAGGGTGGCGGCCCGGAGTCAAGAATGATTCTGCAGTTTCCGGGGCAGGATCACTGGGAGGACAATGGTGTTATTAATAGAGGAGGAAGTCAGGGGACGAAGTGGCATGAACGAGAGGAAGGACTCTTAGGAATTGTTTGTGTCTGTGCGGCTTAAGTGAGCCAAAGTAACACCACTGACAACTGACAACGCTGATCCTGAGTAGGAGGAGAGGACAGTGAAGGGTCTCTGCCAGGGACCGTGGACGTGCAAACCATGAAGAACCTACGCAGTGCTCAGGGATGCCAGGAACTGCCTTAGATAACGAAGTCATCTGCCGCAGAGCTCCTTGAATGCGCCCCCCTCCCAGCCCCGGAACCCGGGCTTAGGGCACAGCAGGTGTGAGACACGCATCACTGACGCCCTACAAGGAGACCTCTGCAGAGCACAGGTAGCAGGTGGGGACCTCACGCTGTGACCAGATTCAGACAGTTTTCAGTCTGTGCCCCCCATTCTGTGCCCCGCAGCATGCACACCTGCCAATAACAACAACAACAGAGTAGGGACGAGACCCCATAGAACCAGAGTGACCAAGCCTAAAAGGGAACTTTGGGATCATCCCAGCCAGTCTGCTGTTTCTGCAGGTGAAGAATCCAAGGCACACAGAGGCGGAAGCACGCACGCGTCCCTAGCAGCCGACGCAGATCTGGCATCGAGCTCTCCTGACTCCTTCCTGCCACCCAGCAGCATATGGAGACTCGGGCTCCCTTTCCTCACCTTGGGGGGCACAGTGCTTCCCCTGCAGGAGTACGAACGTGCATGCATACGTCCTTAGGGCAGGCGGCACTCTGCGCCAACCGCTGCGTGACACGGAAGCCTGGGGGTGGGGACAGAGAACGCAGGGGGTGCGTTCTCTGAGCGTTTTTACACGAGTTCCTTTTAACAGTGATTCACGTTACTAATTCTATTAGTCAACTTACCACTTTTAAGAGAAGTGATACCTGTACATATTCTTCTTTATATGGGATCTGAAATCAAAGGGTTTACTAAAAAAAAAAAAGGCATGGAAACTAAGATCAGATGTTCACGCTGGAATAAAGTATACATTTTGTGTGTTTTGAGCAGGAAAAAAAAAATAGAAGCCCTCACAGCTCACTACTCATTTTTGCAACACACTTACAAGAAGAAAGCTTAACAACATGTATGTGTAAACCATAAAAATCTCAAGAATGAGAAATGAAATTTCAAAAAGAGCACTGTCTGGCTCAGCCACTTCAGCATTACAAAATGCCTCCTTATAGTCAGAATTTACGGGAGAAAAAAATAGACAAACCAGATTATATTAAGAAAAAAAAAAGAATAATGCTACAAAGCTCACGTTAACATAGGTTTTTAGTTTGCTTCGAATAATAATTTGGGAAGGAATTGAGGCAAAAAGGCCCTTCTGCTCACATAAAATGTTAGTTAAAGAACAGTTAGTCATCAAATTTCCTTAATCTTAATTTTCCAGGGAAAATCTCTACAAAGAGCAAATGTTAAAGAATAAGGTAAGTCTGGAGAGATGATTGAATGGGGATCAGATCCTTATTCTGATATATGTTTAACAATTTCAAGGAGTCTGTCTAGAAGTTCATTAATCTGAACTGGAAACCACAGTTTTGCTATGGGAAGATATGCACATATCTCCAAAGCTATAAGAACTTTCATATATTGCTAGCAAGAGTAATTACTAGAACAAGACCACATGAAAAGCAATTTAACAGTATCTATCAAAATCACAAATGTATACAAGATCCTCTGACTCAAAAATTCTATTTCTGGAAATGGATCTTATAAACAAACTTGCACACATACAAGGTTATTTTCAGCAGCAAGATCTGTCTTCTATCAGAAGACTAGAAACAGTCCAAATGCCCATCACTAGGACATCTGTTAAATAAGTCATGGTACAGCTATGCAGTGGAATGCCAAGTGTCTGCAGAATTGAACGGTGAAGCCTTCCATGTTTTGTATGGAAAGATCTCCAAAATATTAAGTAAAAAATTCAAGGAACAAAAGAATATGCATTACATTCCACCTTCTGTATTAAAATGGAAGCAGGGAAAAATAGTAATCTATGTTTATATTTGTTTCTAAAGAGATTTTTTTTAGAGCTAAAGAAATTCAAGAGATTTTGGAAGGATGCACACAGACCGGGGAGGTGAACAGTGAGACAAGAGGGAGGGATTTCACCGTATGGCTTTTTATTTCCTTTAAGTTTTGAACCATGTGAATACATTGCCTATTCAATCAATTAATTTTCAAACAGCAAAAGCTATCTCCTTAATGCTCAAAACATTTCATGAATAAGATGTTTCCTTATAACAAAGAAAGCAGAGATTTCAGCATATCCTCAAACAATATTGATCTTTTGAATCCTTAAGCAAAATATGAAATTAGATGACTATCCTTACTTCTTTCAAAATAGTATTTTTATATGCCTTGCATAAGTGTAACGCTTTTAGTACTTTGGCCTAAAAAATAACCCCATTTCAATGTTTTCAAGTTAAATCTCAACTTTCACCGACATGAAAACCAGCCAAATTCCAGCCATGCAGGTACTTCTCAGAGCTTTCCTATCTCACCACCAGAAACACCCATACCTTTGGCAGAATGGTTCTTTCTCCCATGAGGGATTCGGTGAAGGCAAAGAATATATCCATCTTCTGTCTCGATGAAGCGTTCCTCACTAGGGTATCCCCAGTGAGCGATAATTTCACTCTACAGAGAAAAAGAATATTGGAAACTCTATGGATAGAATCGGACAAGATCTCCCACGTTAGCAGGCAAAGGAGAAGACAAAATGTCAGCAGACATTCTCCAGGCTTTGAGAAAACAGTTGTTATTGAAATTTTAGTGTGCTTAATCGAGCTCAATCTACTTGTTTTATCCATCTGTTCTGCTGACTGGTGTCTGATTAACCTTGGTTTCAACATTCTAGCATGTTCTACACCAAATGTGTCTAATTTCACCACTGCTTTGGGCCTCTCTGTTTCCATCCTGGCTCCACAAATAAACACACTTCTTTCTTTCTTTCTTTTCTAAATATGCCAGCTAATATCGTGATCTACCCTATCCTCATTTTAAGAGGTCCTGTCCTAGGGAACAGAGTATAGCATTAAGCCATTTTCATCAATGAACTGATAAACTTACGCTAACATAGGACACTAAGAGACGAAAAATTGGAAATTATGATCAAAATCACACTTCTCCAATCCATGGAGCAGGTGTTAATCAGGCATCCAGCTCTTCACTGGGCATGGAACCTGCTGAAGATTCTCTCTCTCCCTCTCCCCTGTGCTCCTCCCCACCATGCACACTCTCTCACTAAAAAAAAAAAAAAATAATAATAATAAATAAAGTAGTTATTTCTTTAGTCATTTGTATTTTCCCAATATTTTATGCCTAAATGAGGTATTTCCAGGTTTTATTGTTTACTTATGATTAATAACTTTGAAATGTGTCAATTACTCAACAAATTGTATTTGCTTATTTGTTCCAACAAAATTTTTTTTCAGATATTTTGGTTTTTGTATTGAACTATGTTCCCTGGACATTGCTAATCACACTCCTTGTTCAACGTATTATAAAAGCAGCAGTTGGGGGCGGGCGCCTGGGTGGCTCAGTCGTTGGGGTCTACCTTCGGCTCAGGTCATGATCCCGGGTCCTGGGATCGAGCCCCACGGGAATCCTGCTTCTCCCTCCCCCACTCCCCCTGCTTGTGTTCCCTCTCTCGCTGTCTCTCTCTCTCTCAAATAAATAAATAAAACCTTAAAAAAAAAAAAAAAAAAAGACAGCAGTTGGTAGTAACATCCTTGCAAAGTTTTGATACATTTTTATCATTCTTTCAACAAATTCAATGGGACTTAAAAATGAAATGAATTTATAAAAATTTCATTTACCCCATTAAGAAGTAGGTAGTTTTAACAGTTAAATGCAGTTCACAAAATACACATTACCTGATGGGAAAGTCAGCAAACCGAATTTAAGATTCAGAGAGCATGAAAAGCACAATGATCTATAAAGAGATTGGTTTGTGGCTTCATGTAGCCCACATTACGGAATTGCAGAAAATACTTGACATTTGCCACAGATGCATTTTAAAAGCATCCTTGAGACTTTGAGAAACTTACCACATTCATATTTGTTTCAGGATCCACACCTGCCAGCTTGCTTTCGAACGCCTCGGAAGGCAGGGTCCCAAGGACCAAACAGACCACCAATCCCAGGAGCTGCATTTTCATTCTGTATAAAATAGTCTATTGTTATTTGTCTGAATTTCACTACACAGATTATGTTGGTAGATTAATGCTCCCATACAAAGTTCTGAACCAGGTTTAGGGCAAGTAAACATCAGGTCAAGGGCAAATAGGAAACAAAGGACTCCAGCCATATCTGGAAACAAAAAAAAAAAAGGATTATTTTTTTACTAGGAAACTCCCCCCTCCCCTCCTTTGCCACCACCAGTTAACATGTGACCTTTGGAGCCCAGCACACCCACTCACCCTCCCACCATGAGGTTAAACAAAGTGTTCTGGAGAAAAAACAGAGGACAGGACTTAGAAGACAATAGGCTGAAAAAAAGGAGGGTCCACAAAGTCCCAGAGCCTGCGAGCCTCCCACCTTTTCCCTTCTAATTGCGATATAAACATTTTTAAGTTCTCATGTTTAAGTTCAGTATTAGTTCTTGCCTCCCACTGTCTATTTTTGTTCTTGTCCAAAATTACATGTCAGGATTCAAATTTGTCACCCAAATATTATGCTAAGTGAAATAAGCCAGACTGAGAAAGACAAATACCATATGATTCCACGTTTGTGCAATCTAAAAAATGAATTAACAAACAAAAAGTAGAAACAAAGCCATAAATACAGAGAACTGATGGTTGCCAGAGGGAAGTGGGTGGGGGGATGGGCAAAATGGGTGAAGGGGAGTGGGAGGTTCAGGCTTCCAGTTATGGAATGAGTAGGTCATGGGGGATGAAAGGCACAGCATAGGGACTATAATCAACAGTATAGAACAGAGTCACATGGTGATAGACGGGAGCAGCATAACATACAAAGATGTTGAACCACTATGTTGTACACTTGAAACTAATGTAACATTGTGTCAACTAAACTTCAGTGAAAAAAGGATAGTAATAAATTTTTAAAAATAAACAAAATAAATATGTCATCCTAGGAAAAGAGTAAAATGAAAGAGAGGCTGAAAGAGAAACAGGATAGAAGACCACCCGTTTCCCCTTCTGAGACCCTCCAACCACCAACAAAGATGATCTAGTTTCTACCAGTGATGGTGCAAAATCACAGCACAGCGAAGACCTTGGGGCTGAGTGTAAAAGGCAAAGTGAAGTGAGTCTCCCAAGGAACCTGGATGGTTAGAGGCAAAACTGGAACTACAGCCCAGCATCCTGCATTTTTTAAAAATATAATCATTTTAGGGCGCCTGGGTGGCTCAGTCGTTGAGCGTCTGCCTTCGGCTCAGATCATGATCCTGGGGTCCTGGGATCGAGCCCTGCATCGGGCTCCCTGCTCGGCGGGAAGCCTGCTTCTCCCTCTCCCTCTCCCACTCCCCCGGCTTGTGTTCCCTCTCTCGCTGTCTCTCTCTGTCAAATAAATAAACAAAATCTTTAAAATTAAAAAAAATATATTAAAAAAAAGAGACTTGTATAAAAATGTTTATAACAGCTTTGTGTGTAATAAACAAAAACTAGAAAAACCTGAATACCCCAAATGGGTGAATGGATGGAGATATATATATATATATATATGCATATACATATATATAATATGTACATGATATATACCTACTATTCAGAAATAAAAAGGAATGAACACACAATAACATGGATGAATCTCAAAATAATTATGGTGTATGAAAGCCAGACCAAAAAAAAAGAGTAAATACATATGATTCCATTTATATAGTACTATGGAAAATGCAACCTAATCTCTATTGACAAAAAGCAGATCTCGAGCTGTCTAAGGAAAAGGGCAAGAGGAAAGGATTGCAAGGGGGTATGCACAAGGAATCTTTTGAGGGTGATGGACAGGTTCACTATATTGAATTTACCAATGGTTTCATGGGAGTATACATAGGTCAAAACTTATAAAATTGTTCATTTAAAATACATCTTGTTATTGTATGTCAATACAATACAGCTTTTTTTTAAGACCTGGGCTTAACTGAGTATTCCACAAATCTTAAAAGATTGGTTCTCAGGAGATTACCATAGTGAATTCTGCCAATGCAAGTCCTACTGATGCTGCAGTTACTTCTCCAGCAGTGATGAACCCTGGACATCTAGACAGAAAGGAGTGTAACCTGGAGCCTGCGCTGGCAAAGCAAGCTCACTTGGCGTTTATTTCTTTATGGTGGTTGGGAAGGGATGTATACTCCCAGGCCACCTTTTATCATAATCCCTACCTCCCCGAAGTCCACTTTTACTAGGGAACAGGGAAGAGATTGAAAAGGAAAAAGAAAGGTCATGCCCACAATTTAAAACAAAGAATCTTCTGGCAGCAGATGCTTTCCACTCGGTACCGATCCCACAGAACCTGGACCAGCTGTCCACGGAGACGCTCCAAGAGGGTAGCAGCTGAAGATCCTCAACTGCATATGTCACCCTGTTCATGTTTCCTTCCAACACAACATTAAGCAAGTTTTTCAACCAACTAGTCAAGTGATTCTTGGAAGGATGATGATTAAGAAGTTTAAACGGAGAAAAAGCCCCCTTCCAGGCTGGATCCTGTGTGTTTTTCTGGGCTCTCTTAGCAACTTCTATCTCTGTTCTCTCTACATTGTAACAATGCAAGTAAGTGCTCTTCTGCCCTCATTTCGCCCCCGCCGGAAAGCAGGGCAGGCGTCTGACTCAACTTTGAACCCTTAGGATCTATAGAGTTGCCCTGCACCTATGAGATGCACAGTACAGATTTTGAAAAATGAGATACGGGTTGGTCCAAAAGTTCAGTGGCTGAAGAAAAGAAAAGCCCCAAAGCAGCCTCCCATTTTGCTTCCTACTAATGACAAGGTCAACACCACTACCAATAATCTCGCTCCCATTAAACTCCCGCTACGCTCCAGACACGCCAGTAGTGCTTCCGACCTATGTTAACTACTCCTCCAGCACATCAGTACGGTCCCGTTAAATCCTTGTTTCGGGAAGCTGAGCTTCACCTAGGTCAAGTACGGGAAGCAAAGTGCCAACCGGTTAAGGGGGAGCTTAACCAGGGGAGGGGGGTAGCTGGGAATCAGGAATCCCGGTTGCCACCGCAATCCGAGGGCTCTGGGCGGCTTTGCTGATCCGCGACCGCTCCCGTACAGGAAATCGGAGGGCTCCCACGGAAGGGAGGCAACTTCGGAGACCCCGCGAAACCTGGACCACGCCGCCCGCAGAGGAGGAGCCCGCAGGTGCTCCAGGAGGGATGCGCCACGAGCCAAGCGCAGGGGGTCCCGCCGGCCTGCAGAGGCTTGGGCGTGGGGGGGTGGGGGGCGACGCGCGGAGGCCCGAGCTGCAGCACCCGTAACCGGCGGCGCAGCCCGGCGGCACTCACCCGCACCGGTCCTCCCAGGCCGCTGTCCAGAGCCGCAGTGCCCGCTCATGGAACTGGGCACCTGGCGGGGCGGGGACCGCGGGAAGCGAGGACAGGTTCCCCTCCAGGCTGAGGCTACGCGCGCAGCCAATCGGAGCGGCGGTCCGCCGGGAAGTGCTGCCGAGACCCCGCCCCGCCCAGCGCCGCCACGGAGCATGCGCCTTGGGCGGGCCCCAGCAGGGCGGAGGCTCCGCCTCCCAGCCCGGGCTGATCCTCAGCTGCACCTGCGGGCCGAGGCTGACGCTTTCTCCCGCCGGTCCGCACCCTCTGCACCTGGCCTAGAGCTGTGGGCTCTGTAAGTGCAAAGAAATTGTATGTTCCGTATAAAGCGCTTAGCATTGTGCCTGATGCAAAGCAATCTTGCTGTACATTTTATTTTTATTTCTAAAATGCCCAGTATTAAGAGACTTGGGGAATAGCAGCCAAACAAACAAGGTCCCTGTTGTGCTTACATTCCAACGGGAACAGACACACCGTGAATAAATATATAACATAAAGTAGTAGAAAGTGCTGTGAAGAACAATAAAACAGTAAAGGGACAATGAAGGAGGATGTTGTGTTACGTGTAAGGTAATCAGAAAAGGACTCTGATGAAGTGAGAACTGAACACAAACAGGAAGCTGATTGAGAACCATGTGGATACTGGAGAAAGACCATTCTGGGGTGAGAGAATAGCACGTGCAAAGGCCCTGAGGCAGGAATATTCTGGTGGGTTCTAGGAAAAGTAATGAGGTCCGTGTCACTGGAACAGAATGTGATGGTGGAGAGTGGTAGAACATGAAGTCCTAGAGGTACTTGGGTGCCTTGGAGGGGCAATTGTAAAGACTTTGCTTTTTCTTCTAACCAAGATAAGAAGCCGGTGGAAGGTTTCAATAGAAAGGCAACATACTTTGGTTTACAGTTTAGAAAGATCACTCTGACTGCTAGGGTCAACTAGGGAAGCAGGGAGACAAGTTGGAAGTCTACTGCAATAGTCCAGGCGAGAGTTAATGATGCTTGGACTGGGGTGGTGAGAGCAGTGGAGGTGGAGACAAACACTCGAATTCAAATGAAGAAAGCACCAAGAGGAGCAGCTTGGGAGGGAAATCAAGAGTTGGTTTTAGATGTGTTGATTTTGAGACACTCTTTAGAGAACTCTCTCAGCCAAGGCCCTGTCAGCACACCGAACCCACTCTAGGTATTCCAAACAGAGCAAATGGTTACACTGGTGGCGGAATTGTCGGGAAGCCAAACAGGGTTTAGGCTGAGACCAGCAATGACAGGAAGGGCTGAGGTGGTGTTGGGAAAGACAGTGTCACCAGAGACCAGAGGTGGTTGTGTTGAACAGCAACCTCTGCCAGAGACACTTCCAAGGTCAAGAGAGGAGGGTTCAACATGCTGTGGCCTTTCCTGCCTCCTGCCCTCCAGTTTCCCACCAGTCCCTCCTCTGGGTCAAATGCAACCTGACGCTGGCTGACAGAGGACCCTAAGAAACGCAGGCTACAGGGCTCAGACCCCTCCACCCTCCACGACACAGAGCAGAGGGTGCGCAGGGAATGGATCTAGAGACAAAATGGCAAAGATCAGCACTGGCACGTACACATCTAGTGTTCAAAGTCAAATCCAAGGCTGGCGATAGAGACAGAGTTTAAAGCCCCAAGACTGGATGAGGTCTCCCAGAGAGAAAGCGTAAGCAACAAAGAACACACACAGAGGAAACTAAATGAAGTGAGCCCTGCAGCTGCCCCAGATAACAGCCTGGGAGACTTTCCAGGCTGCAGTTCAGGGAGAGGGGAACTTAGGTAAAAATCCAGCAGTTTCGGGGCACCTGGGTGGCTCAGTCGGTTGGGCGTCTGCCCTCAGCTCAGGTCATGATCCCGGGGTCCTGGGATCGAGCCCCATGTCAGGCTTCCTGCTCAGCTGGGAGTTTGCGTCTCCCTCTCTCTCTGTCCCTTCCCCCTGCTCATGCTCTCTCTCTCTCTCTCTCAAATGAATAAATAAAATCTTTTTTTTTTTAATCCAGCAGTTTCTCTGAGTGGACTCAGATGAGAATTCAAGAAGGCTAAGGCAATCAAGTTTGCAGGGCAGAGTAACGAGGTGGAGAGAGTTGCAGAGAGAGAGAGAGAGAGCAAGAGCTCTGGGGGTCTACCAAGCATTCCCCTCAAGTCTTGCACTGAGAATTAACTGGAGTTTGCATATGAAGAAACTACACTAGACCAGGAGGGAGAAAACACCTGAAAGGAACAAATGGGTAACTCCCCCAAGTTTACACAGGATTGGGAATAGTTCAGGTGACACTGGGCCAGAGTGGAAAAACCTCGTTACATAAAAGGCACTAGGTAGAAGACTCACAAGGATATTATTGCCTCAGCGTGAAGCAAAATTACCCCTAAGTAAGACTACTCAAAAGGAAGAGTCCTGAAATAGAGCCCCAGTTGATTTTCACAAGACAATATTGTGGGGAAAGAATAATCTTTATAACAAATGGTGCTGGGACAATTGGATAGCTGTATGCAAAGTGGTAAACTTCGACCTTATGCAAGAATTAACTCAAAATGGACCAAAGACATGCATCTGAAAGCTAAAACTATAGGACTTCCTTGGGGAAGGGGAGGAGTGGAAATAAGAGAAAATACTGGATTTGCCAAAAGGATTTCTTAAACAGAACATAAAAAGCACAACCCATGAAAGAAAAAACAATTAACAAACTGGACTTCTTCAAAATAAAAAAATTTTGTCCTTTAAAAAGCACTTTATAACCATAGTGAGATTCCACTTCATATCCACGAGGGTGACTATAATAAAACAAGACAGGTATTAGCACACATGGGTGAGAATGTTGGACATGCAGGGAACCCAGAAGCCGGGGTGATGTGAGATGGTGCAGCTACTTTGGATGATAGTCTGCAGTTCTTCAAAAAGCCAGCACTTCCCCTGCTGTGTATACACCCGAGAGAAATGAAAACTCATGTTCACATAAAACAACTCATATGCAAATGTTCATAGGATTATTATTCATAAGAGCCGAAAAGTGGAACCAGCTCAATGTTGAGGAGTTGATGAATGGATACATAAAATGCAATATATCTATATTCTATGGAATATTATTGCATCATTAAAGAAAAATGAAGTACTGATGCATGCTACAACACGTCTGAGCATTGAACACATGCTAAGTGATAAAAGCCAGCCACAAAAAATTAAGGGAGATAATTCCACGTACATGAAATGTCCAGAAGAGGCAAGTCTATACAGGAAGTAGATAGTGGTTGCCTGTGGATGGGGGCGGGGGTGGGAGGAGGTGGGTCGGGGGGCGGGTTGGGACAATGTGAGTTGCCAGCTAAAGGTTGTGGGTTACTTTTTGCCCTGACGAAAGGGTTCTAAAATTCATTGTGGTGTTCATTGCCAACCCTGTGGATAAACTGAAAGACATTTAATTGTACACTTCAAATGACTGAATTATAAGGTATGTGAATTATACCTCAATGAGCTGGTTCTTTTAGACCTCATAAAAGTGATAAGGTAGGGCGCCTGAGTGGCTCAGTTGGTTAAGCAACTGCCTTCGGCTCAGGTCATGGTCCCGGGGTCCTGGGATCGAGCCCCCGCATCGGGCTCCCTGCTCGGCGGGAAGCCTGCTTCTCCCTCTGACCTTCCCCCTTCTCGTGCTCTCTCTCTCTCAAATAAATAAACAAATAAAATCTTAAAAAAAAAAAGTGGTAAGGTATACTCCTTGCAATTTAATAACAAGACGAAAATCCCAGTCAAAAAATGGGCAAAAGGTAGCAGATATGCTGAGGCAAATGAAAATAGGCTCACCATCATTAGTCATCAGGGAAATGCTAACTAAAGCCACAATGAGATACCACTCTTCTACCCACCAGAGTGGCTAAAATTAAAAATTGTTGATGAGGATGAGAGTTAGTTAGAAATCTCCTGCATTGCTGGTGGGAATGTAAAATGGTACAACTACTTTAGAAAGACATTTGAAACCTTCTTAGAAGGCTCTACTTGGCCTACCATCAACCCAGCTCTTCTACTCCTAAGTATTTACCCAAGAGAAATGAAAAGTATTTATACACAAGTGACCATAGCAGCTTATTTGTAATAAGCAGAAACTGGAAACGACCCATATGCCCACCAACAGGTAAATGGATAAACAAATTTGTATCCATATGGTGGAATATTACTCAGCTGTAAAAAAAAAAAAAATAATGAACTATTGATGCAAACAGCAACATGCATGGCTCTTAAAATAATCATGTTGAGAGAAAGAAGACAAAAACAGTACACACTGTATGATTTCCTTTGTAGAAAATTCTAGAAAATGTAAATTAATCCAGATGGACAAAAAGGATATCACTGGTTTCTTGGGAAGGGAATTTTTTTTTTTTTTGAGACGAGAGGAAGTTGGATTCCCAAGGGGCAGAGCAAACTTTTGAGGGAGTGGATATCTTTATTTTGATCATGGCAATGCTTTTACAACTACAGATGTATATAAAAGCTCATCAAAATTTGTACTTTAAATATGCAAAACTTAATCTTTGTCAGTTATACCTCAATAAACCTTTTATTTTTTTTCAAGATTTTGTTTATTTATTTGTCAGAGAGAGAGCGCACAAGAGGGGGAGTGGCAGGCAGAGGAAGAGGGAGAAGCAGGCTTCCTCCTGAACAAGGAGCCTGATGCGGGATTCGATCCCAGGACCCTGGGATCATGACCTGAGCTGAAGGCAGATGTTTAACTGACTGAGCCACCCAGGCATCCCTCTCAATAAACCTTTTAAAAATACTAATAGCTTCCATTCACTGAGCTCGTGCCATATGCCAGATCCTAAGTAGTTTACATACACTATCTTATTGAATCATGAACCTCTCAACAGGGTTATTTTTCCTCTCCCGCAGATGAGGATATAAAGGCGGAAGTCATGAAAATAGCCATCAAACTCAAATAGCCTGATGCCAAAAGCCCAGTTCTTATTCACTGTGTGAGAACTGTAACCCTTCCTCATTTCTCTCCTGAGCGCCAGGCACTCTCCTGGTTGATCTAGAACTAATCAACACTGGCCAGTGCCCTCATATGGTGGTGCAGAAGGCAAGGAGCTGGGGATCTGCAGCCTTAAAGCAGGAAGGCCCAGCTCTCCTGGCCTGTGGGCAGGGGGCTCGGTAGGTGTAGAAAAAGAGAGGCTGAGTCTCCAGCCATTAGAACAGAATGTTGTCTCACCCTTCATGTTCAATAGGTAGCAGAAGTTCCCCTAAGAAAACTGGTTCTACATGTTTGGGTCCTCCTGCAGGGAGGTCCTGTCCCCTCTGGGGCTTGGGGCCTCAGGGTCTCACCGGCCTTTGGCCCTGTTTTCCCATCTTTGACCCCTACACACATTTCCGTGCTTAAGGTTCCAGGGACTCCATCTCTATGTGCTCTGTAAATTCTAGTGATCGCCCCACCTCCCAAAAGGAGGCAATTTAAATGTGTCTTGTTTTGTTCTGTTTCCATTAGAAGTTCTGGTAAAATGCTTATTGGCATGCAGTTGATGCTACCAGGTGAAATGGGTTTGGGGGCGAGGGGAAGGAACTGTCACAGAGAATCTATGGAGTTT